CCTAACCTTAAGAATAGAATTAAAAATAAAATATTATATATAAAATTAACAGTAGCTACAGTAAACAGTGCTAATGGAGGTAGAAATTGTTTAGAAATAATTATCACTTTACTTAATGATAGAAAAGGGGGGAAATGTTAGGAACCAGTGTTGTAAGATACTTTGTTTATTTTATTTTATTTGTTTATTATAATTTATTAATAATTAGTATTTATTATTATTTTTCTCAGCCCTGCCGCTACACCGTCCTGTACAGTAGGTGGCAGTACGCGCTTACACACGTTACGTTACAACCATTAAACCACAGAAGACGAAGAGCGCATCGCGAGTGCGCATGCGCTACACATATTATCACTGCAGATTTTCTTTTTTTTTCACCAAAAACAAAAAAAACCCACAAACAAACAAAAACAACAACAATTCCTTCTGCTGTGTGTTTGTAACTTCACATCCAGATACATGAGGCCTCCGAACACGTCTCTGTTTGTCAGGAACATCTCCGATGAGTCCAGGTGAGTCAGGCCGCCGTCAGAGCCGCAGATAGCAGCTAAACTTAGCCTCCTTTAAACCTGAGAAATACTCATTATTATTCATTATTATTCATTATTATTCACTATTATAATCACATTTATTTCATTTGTTAGTTTAAGTAAGGCGGCGGTAACGTGTCGCTGTTGTAAAGACGTCGGTAACGTTTGTTTGTTTGTGTCTGTTGCACGTTTTAATGTTTCTAAATAACAACAACTCATTCATTATTAACTTAAACGTGTCGGTGGTAACTTTAATTAAGCGACCTGTTATTAATTAATTGATGAATCAATTAGGTGTGTCCATGATGCTTTACTGAACTGTTTACTGCAGTGGTTCCCTCACTAAGTGACACATTTTCTGGATATATTTCACATTATATTCATTAAAATAACAATAACAGTGGAGAACAACTGATAAATGTACAATGAGCAGAAATAGTGACAAAACAATAACTGAAGGAAGTCAGAGATGAGTTTTCCTGATTCCTTAATGGAACTTTTTACACAATTATCTGTCTTTATTTACATATTTTCTTCTGTTTTTTAACCATTTCAGCTACTGAACAGGCCTCTTATTTAGTGTTTTATTCTGTCTGATTTCTCATTTCCTTCATGCAGGACAATGCTGTTCATCAGACATAACTGACAGTAACTTGTGTTCACGCCTTTAAAGTTTAGATCTTAAATAATAATCTTAAACATGTAGTTTTCTTCACAGAAATAAACAAAATGCTGAGATATAGGACTCCTGTGTTTATTTCTTAAAATCAAGAAGGCCTTGCCACCCACTGGGAAGCTTCGGCGTCCACCAATTGGGGTCCCGACCCCCGGTTGGGAACCACTGCTCTGTTGCTACTGTTACTTTTAATAAAGCAGAAGTATTTCTTATCCGATTAATCGATGGAATACTTTGATTACTTAGTTAATCGACAGCTGCAGCCGTAAAACCGTCCAATAGAACAATAGAAGAATAGAAGAAAACACTGGATTTGTGAAAAAAGAAGCCGATTAAGTCTGTATGTTTGTTAACAAGTTATAAAATACAGACAGAGAGTTGTGGAAAAAGTTCCCTCACTCGTTTTATTCAAACTTCTTTCAGGTTCATTGTACAGTTTTAAATATAATAAGAAATATCCATGAAATATGTCTAAAATCCAGAAGGCCTCAGGTTGGGAACCACTGGTTTAATGTGCAGTGTTACTCAGCTTACAGCGAACGTTACCTGTTCAGATGTGGGTTTAATAAAAGTGTAGCAACACCTTTTTAAATTGATTAACGTTAGAAAAGCTTTTGAAACCGTAATCGAAAACCTCCTTCATTACTTGGTCCCATGGACGTTTATAAACTGTAACGTTTACTTATCAGCAAAACCTAAAAGTCTTTACACAGGAGTTAAATTATAGCAGTGATGGATAGAGTAATGTTACTACAGTAAGTCAGTAAAAGCAGCCGTTAAAGTAACATTGAAGGAATAAGAGCGTTTATTGAGATTATAAAGATATTGTGACTTATTTATTGTGAAACAGAAAAATATGGAAAAAGGACACTAATAACTGGTTCCTGTTTATTGTATGAAACTACATTACAGGTTTGGGTCAGAATACATCTAAACACAAAGAACACAGATATTATTAATCTAATCCACTAATCCAGCTAAATTAGTAACAATAATACTTTTAAGATTAGTTTCGATCATTAGTTGTTAGCGGACAATTTACAGTCGAGAGAAACAGGACAAAGTGGATCAGAATCAGATTAATTAAAGTAAAACATAGTGAATTTAAAACTTAAAACAGGAATTTACATTTAGGTTATGTAAAACATATATTCCAACAGCGTGGTGCTCTTTTCTCTACTTTGGGAACTCTCTGACTCTTATAAAGTATAATTCTTCCAAACAAAAAAAACTAAATATAAAAAAATAATATAACCTGGTCTGACTACAGTCACTTTATCATAATCTGATAAATGAACCCAGCGTTGACCTACAGTGTGTGGATGAGCTTTTTGGGGGGGAAAGCATGTTGGTGTTAATTGACATGTTTCTCATCGTCATGGTAACATATTGACCCACGCACTCTGAACACAACTCGTTTTTTTTTTCTTTTATTCGCTGTAAAGTTTTACGTGAACATCTGAATCGAACTAAACGGGGGCGACAGCGCTGCATCTGCTTATGTGAGCTATAGACTTGTTAGTGGAGGTTTTTTTTTTTTACATTGAATTGCATGTTAAACAAAATAGTCTTATGATCTTAAACGGGCCAGTTTACCCCAAAACAACCTCAGGATTATTGCAAAATAAAATACAACCTTAGAATAAAATTTGTGCCCGAATAACACAAAAAAAACCTGTGTGGACAGGAGGGCCGGATTACCAGGTGAGAGGTAAAATAAGTCTCTTCCGTTTTGGGGTGAACTGTCCCTTTAGCCCTCTCATCAGCTGTTGTCACTGGTTGCTGATGTAGGTAGAGTTGCCCGTGATGGTCAGTTGAGTCATACTTGTATTTACGGTGTTCAGGCCTGAGGATTTGCGGCGTGAGTTTGGCCGCTATGGGCCGATAGTAGATGTCTACATCCCACTTGACTTCTATACACGTCAACCAAGAGGATTTGCATACATTCAATATCCTTTCCCAATGAATTTATTTTCACTGTTTGTGTCTCTTGCTAACAGATTTTTTAATTTCCTTTCAGCAGAGAAGATATGCTTTTTTTTGTGACGTATTTCTTTTTTCCCTGCACATCATTTGATTGAATATCTAACACACATATTTCTCTGTTATTGCTTCAGAAAATGTAAAAGCATCCAGTTGTGGAAGCGGCCACAAAGAGTAACAAAGACCCCATATAGAGTAGCTGTAAAGACAAGTCACACAGACCTTCAGGATCAGAGGGAGGGGAAAAAGGTTGAAAAAAGAAAGTAAAGCATGAAGAGGAAAAGGGAACGGAGACAAAGCTTGGATATGGCGGCAAAGAATTGGGAAAAGAAAAAGAGGTTTAAGAGGAAAAAGGCAAGCAGGAAATCCAAGTCTCTGTGGGAGTCGATTAAAGAGTGTAAAGATCAAGATGAAGTTCAAAGTCAAGCATGGGCAAAGGTAACAAGTCTGAATTATTTTGTATCCTCCCAAGACAAATCCACAAATCTGACATGACAACAAAATCAGCGTTTCCCTGTGATATCATTGACATTTTAATTTTAATCAAAGCAATTTAATCAACTATTAATGTATTTGATTTGTTTAGATATATATATATATATTTATATTTGTAGTCCTGATCCCTCAAGACAATTATTTTGTGTTTGAAAAGCTTGCTTCATCTTTTATCTCTACAAAAATCTACTGAGTGTGTTTGTTGTTATTTTCATTTGTTTATATCATAGTGTAAGTGTCAAGTAATGCATAATTTGTGTCATTTTAAACTGTTTTACCTTTTAAATAAGGCCACACAGATGAAAGAAAATGTTTGATGTATGCTCTGTATCCCTCTCACCATAAATGTAAAATACAGTATGCTATTAAAGAAAAATGAAGTTCTATGAAAGTACAGTGGAATTTATATTTGATGTGAAGGGAAATAGTGTTTTCCTTTGTTCCCTTCACGCTGAGAGAAAAATAAAAAAACACTCAAAACATTTATTTGAATTTGTGTGGCCTTTTCCAAAAAACGAGTGCAAACAAAAACCTTAACCACCCAGCATATTTGAAGATGTGCGTGATGCAGAAGATGCTCTTCACAGTCTGGACAGGAAGTGGGTTTGTGGCCGGCAGATTGAAATCCAGTTTGCCCAGGGTGACCGGAAGAGTAAGTGTTCAACTACAGCATCATTTTAAATCGTACAGTGGTAGCTGGATTGTGTGTGAGTGATCAGTGTACTGTTGGCAGCACAGAAGAAGCAGACACTATGGTGTACAGGCATCTTTAACAGCCCTGTAGTGGAGGAGCATCAGTTATATATTGATTTTATGCTGCCTGAATATATACAGCTACACAGGCGGTCAGATGAAGCAGTGGAATAGACTGAATTGAACAATAACAGCATAGTGCCGTGGTAGCACAATGAAAGATAAACACAGCAGGTGTTTTCTGCCAAAGGTGAAATACTGTAACTCTGTAAGGCCTTTCTCAGTTTTATCATTAATGGCTCCGTTCCATTAGGTATTCACGCTGACTCACCACTTACTGGCAACCCTGAGTGTTAGTTATTAGTTCCACTTGTGCTCTTCCTGATTCAACAAATCAAAACGCAACAACAAACAGTGCTGCATCAGATTGAGCCTCCTGTGATTCAGTGTATATTTGTCTTGTCACGCAAATATTGACTGCAGCCCTTTCCTGATGCACCATTGTGCTAACTGTAATGTCTGGTGTAGAGGAGGCTGTCTGGTTGTACTCTGTAGGGCTGATGGGAGAAAGCACTTAACTCCTATATTTGTTGCACGTACCAGCATACTGGGAAAATACTCTTCCTGTGGAGTTCCCAGTGCAGTTCCACACAAACTCACTCTTAGGAATGTTTTGTGCTTTATTTTTATTTATTTCTACTCTGGGTTAATCCCTTTACCATCACTGTTTTTCACACCAGCACCAAACCAGATGAAATCGAAGGAGAGGCGTTCTCCAGGCAGATCGTCTCGATACGATGACTACGATAGAGACAGCCGGCGCAGGCGTTCACGCAGCCGCAGCTACGACAGATACAGATCGCGCAGCCCGTCTTACGATCGCCACCGCAGACGATCAGAGAGTCCTCGAGAGTGAGTTTTTCTTTCAGGGACTTGTCAGTGCCGACTTACTCCTCACACAGTTGTACTTAAATGTTTCTTTAAAAGGGAAGATAACCTTTGAATTTCTTTCTTCAGCTCTCGTGGACGGGTGTATGGGAGAGGAAGAAGCAGGAGCCGCGAGGATGACAGGTACAACTTCTCTTTGACACTGTTTGTTACTCTCTTTCTGCCTTCGTCATGGTAACGTCTGACCCAGGTCACATTGTGTAGCTTTATACGGACGCGTAGAGAGGCAGATTTATTGTAGAAGTCAAATTGTTGGATAATTAAAGCAGCAGTGGCTTCCAGCTGTGAAGTCGATGATGGCAACCAGCTGAATACAGCTCAACCTTCTAAGCGTGTAGGAGAAACTATGTTGGCTGCAAAACTCACAAAGAACACAAACGGCCAGAGGAGATGTAAAGTAGGAGGAGATGCCTCTGTAGATGTGAAAGGATAATTCCAGTGTTTCCCATTAATTACCTCGACTCTGGCGGCAAAGCATCTCTCAGTCACATTACAAGTATCTGCAATTGATGAACTAGTGGACAATCTCCCCTTGCTCTGCACCTCCTGTACAGTCTGACACAGACACAGACGCTCTCTTTATTTTACCAAGTAAAGCGAGAGTGAATCATCGGTACCACGTTGGTTTCGATTCTAAACATCAAACCTCCTTCACACGCGACAGAACCCTGAACACAAGTTGTGTTTTTTTGGGCGACTTTATAAAAGTTACTGCTGAAGAACGTCCCCGCCACACTGAATTCTATGTGAGGGTTACGTTGAGTCCCCAGATGTTTGATAATCACAGAAGTGTCCAGAGGGTCTGCAGGTTTACAGCTACTTGTCTCATTGTCAGATACAGGCAGAGGCCTCGGAGAGAGTCCAGAGGGAGATCTCGATCGCGCTCCAAATCTGCATCCCCGCGAGAAAACCTCAACCCGGCGTCGACTTCCCATTACACCGAAGAAGAAGTGCGACGGACACACTCCCCGTCCCGCTCCAGGTCCCGGTCCGCATCAAGATCACGCTCCCGCTCACGTTCTCGGTCCCGATCCTGGGCCGGACGCAAGTCAGGAGGACGCTAGAAAAGTATCTGCCCCCTTCCCCCCCACTCTTATCCGTCATTCTGTCAGATGGACCGGAGTTGGTCATCTGTCAAGAAAAGGTTTGTTTGTTTTGACATGAATGTAACGTCCACTGAAGCATTTGTAGAAAGCTTGTTTTTTCTCGGCTCCATTTTAAGAACAATGCTGGTCCTTCGCTTGGTTTTATAAAGAATTCTTTTGGTAAGATTTCCTGATAGGAATATGAAACAGTCTGTGTTCAGTGGTAGTCGACCAGGAGTAAATGTCTTTTTTATAAACAGTTACTGATAATTTTGTTCTCTAAACCCTATGCACCCATTTTTGCAAAAAAAAGAGCATTCAGTATTTTAAAAGGAAATCAGTCTGTTGATGAATCGAACCAGCGTTTCTGTGTGTTTTATCACATTTATAATAAATCACATACTTTTTACTTTACTGCTGACCTGTTTCCACAACTGAAGTGTACATTTTTCTAGTTTTTCCTCCCTTCTTCCAGCCACGTGTCCATTTGTTTTTACTATATGATTATTATTATTTTATTTTATTTAAATCTTAAAATTTTCTTGAGATAATCTGTCAGTGAGCATTATTGAGATAATCATCAGCTTATGTTGTCAAAGTCGCAGACCTATTTAAAAAGTGCACTGCATTACCCTGCAACAATAACGTGACTGAGAGAAATGACAGCAGACTTGACATTCAAGTTTTAAGTCACTCCAGTCGGTGGTTTTCATACTAAGAAAATGTGTCTGTGTCTGGAAGAGAAACATTTACAAACTGTAACAGATGAGGTCTGTGGTGGAAATGGATCAGCAGTGGTGTAAAGTATTTGGGTTTTGGCTAAAATGCACAGAAACTCTGCCATGGTCCTTAAAAGTGTTAGAATATTGTCGATCAGTGACCTTAACCACAAACTGTTTAAAAATGTACATTAATCTGTTTTCATTTTGTGGTGTTTTCTGTAAGATTATAAACCTTTTAAAGAGGTATTTTATTTTTGGAACATTTATCCGAATTTCTGTTCTGAGAGGAGGAGCAAAAAAAAAAAAGTTTCTCGCTAGTGTTTCCGAGACTGATTGTTGATGGTTTTTCAGGATGAATCACTGCATGTTTTATTCTCCTAATCTTCTATCTTTAGTAGGAAGAAACTGTTATTTTGAGTAATAAATGGTTAACATTCAGTATAAAGAATCGGTGTGTGACTTCAGTTTGTAAACTCTGCTTGTAAATGCAGCTGAAGATGAGTTTAACTTTATTGAGGAGACAGAATCTAAAGAGACAAAATGGAGGAAGTAATTCAGAGAGTCCCCCCCTCCCTCTCTAACACCCTGATATTAAATAGGTGTTTTCATTATCATGAGAGTGGAATCACAGTCTGCAATCATCTGTATGGAAAACAGACTAGCAGTTTGTCAGTCCAGCCGCAATCATTGATTTCCTTTTAATGGATCAGTAGCTGGGAGGAACAACTTAAATTAGATTCACAGTGAAGAAGCAGCCATGTATGAAATCGGACGTGCCCCATTGATCACTGTATTGAAAAAAAATAACATTGATTAAACAAGTACAGTGGCAGCATGGAGGTGAGCTTAAGTAAGAGGGTGGTTGTAAATACAGACCAGACTGAACCAAGGAGACATTGTATGTACTGTATGTATGTGATTACCTGTTAAGTTACAGTAGATTATTACCTGTTGTGTGGAGATTTGGGGTGTACAACAAATCATAAATCCAATTGTAAACTGCTTCTTATTATGAACCAATTCATGTAATTTGTATAACCTCACATGCTCTCAAATTTAGAGATTTTGTGGACAACATATGTATAAAGTAAAAAAGTAAGATGCTTCCAGACTGTATCCATTTTTTTTTCAGTCAGCATGAACAAAGAGGAATTATTATGTTTACAGAAACAAAGAGTAGAACAAATGCAAAACAATGAGGGTTTATATGACCTTCATCCACTAATAGCACTAATACACACAAACATAAGGCAATAATTCCCATTAATCTTAAGACATTAAACATCCCACAGATAGAGAATAAGTCAATGTAAGAGCAGACATACTACAGTGTTCAAACATAAAATACATTCACACGTTTCAATTAGTTTTTTATAATCTTTTTATATTGGTGGAAACAGACAGAGCGTAATTGTTCTGTATTTAACATTTTACAACAATGATTTTTGTTTGTATAAAAATACATATTCTGTATATATTTCTACATCTTTTTGGTCATTTATTTATTTACCAGTGTATTGAGTTGTATAACTTTAATTATAAATTGAAATAAATTAACTTGGGGTTGTATTCCCACCAGAGGTTAGTGTCAGGCTGACCGACCCTTCGTTATGTAACAGAGATGCTGCTCAATATCTTGTTGTTGTAAATGAATACAGGACACCTTCTATTTTAACCGATCATTCAGTAAGACATCAAGATATTGATCCACTCAAGAAGCAGTTTATAGTTTAGGGTTGTAATCCATCTTCAGGTCACTCTCAGATCAACCCAGTGCACCACTTCTGTCCTGTGTGATCAAGCAAGTTCAGGGTCCTTCGTGTTCAACTAGAAATAGACGTCAAACGATTGAATATTTTCAGCACATTTCACATTTCACCCCTAATGACTCGCAGGAACTGGCAGTCAGTCCATTCACACTGCTGCGAGGTAAATGGCAGCAGAGCATTGCGACAGTATTGATTGTTTTTGTCTTTCGCAGGCTATAAGTTGTGAACAACAACTCGCAGGGGTCATTTGTTTTTGTCCAGTTTTCACCAACAGTGGAGACTGAAATCTCTCCCGGTGTGAACATTTAACCTTTATAACGAGAGGAGAAAGAAGATTAAAAGATGGGCTTGTAGGATTGTGTTCAACAGCATCAGCAGCATCATTGCACAAACCCTTTATTGATAAATTTCATATCCAAGATGAAGGTAAGTTGAATATTTTTTAAATAAAAATATGACATCTTTGAGAGTTGTGTAGTTTTGACTGATTACAGTGAGCCAAACATATCCGCTTTAGAGCGACATTTTCCTTTAATTTGTTGTAGGAGACACTACACTAAACAGAACTTTCTTAAGGTAACATCATGGATCACAATTATTGATCTCTATTTGATTGTTTGACATCATTTGTGGTGTTTAATGATTACCAATTGCCACTTTTGCCAATATGTCTGAAGTCGTTTTATTAAGATGTTGCTAAATGTTGACTTTACTTACCATTGTGTGATGAGAGCACATTAAAATACCTAATGCAGTTTAATACCATCAGACTTGTACTCCAGCATTTAAATTAGTGTCTAATTCTGTTGTAACTGGGTAAACTGGTTGTGTAACTTAAAACCTTGTTCTCAGCAGTGGTGGAAGAAGTATTTCGATATTTTACTCAAGTAAAACTAACAATTCCACAATGTAAAAACACTACTTCAAAACTGTACTTGGTCATAATTCTTTAAAAAAAATAATAATAATTTAGGGATTTTTGTAAGATTTTAAAGTTTAAAAAATGTATTGTTATTGGATTGTTGAACTCTCAAATATGGATATCAGTATCAGCCTCAAAACTTCTGTATTAGTCGGACTACAAACCTAATGAGGCACCTTGAGGAAGTCATTTATTTCCATGTTTGCAGCACGACAAACTTTCATGTTTCATGTTTTCAACTGAAAATTATTTGTCTAATTACAAACAGCTGATGTATCATTACTGCATTTTTAAAACTAACCCAAATATCCGTATTGGCCTCAAAAATCCTGTCGTCAGTCGGACTGTATTAACAAATCATGACTTTTTTTCATTATAGCACTGCTAATATAAAAAAATGGGAGACTGGAACTTCCTCGGAGGGATCTTGGAGGAGGTGCATATCCACTCCACCATGGTCGGCAAGATCTGGCTGACCATCCTGTTCATATTCCGGATGTTGGTGCTGGGCGTCGCAGCGGAGGACGTGTGGAACGACGAGCAGTCGGACTTCATCTGCAACACCGACCAGCCCGGCTGCCGCAACGTGTGCTACGACCAGGCCTTCCCCATCTCCCTCATCCGCTACTGGGTGCTGCAGGTGATTTTCGTGTCTTCGCCCTCCCTGGTGTACATGGGTCACGCCATCTACCAGCTGCGAGCTCTGGAGAAGGAGCGGCACTGCAAGAAGGTGGCTCTCCGTCGGGAGATGGAGGCGGTGGACGTGGAGCTGGTGGAGGTGAGGAGGAGGATTGAAAAGGAGATGAGGCAGCTGGAGCAAGGGAAGCTCAACAAAGCACCGCTGAGGGGCTCGCTGTTGTGTACGTATGTGGCCCACATTGTCACTCGCTCAGTGGTGGAGGTCAGCTTCATGATGGGTCAGTACATCCTCTACGGACACCACCTGAGCCCTCTTTACAAGTGTGAAAGGGAGCCGTGCCCGAACGTGGTGGACTGCTTCGTCTCCAGGCCCACGGAGAAAACGGTTTTCATGATGTTCATGCAAGCGATTGCCTCCATCTCCCTCTTCCTCAGCCTTCTTGAGATCATGCACCTGGGGTTCAAGAAGATTAAGAAGGGCATCCTGGACTATTACCCACACCTGAAGGACGACCTCGATGATTATTACCTCAACAAGTCAAAAAAGAACTCGGTTGTGCATCAGGTTTACATGGGCACGTCTGTGGGTCGCAAGGCTACTATTCCCACAGCACCATGTGGGTACACATTACTGTTGGAGAAGCAGGGCAATGGACCTGCCTACCCTCTTCTCAATGCCTCCTCTGCCTTCGTCCCAATACAAGGGGACCCTGGTGCAAAGCCAGACAGCCACAAGGACGGCAAGGAGGGAGTGCCAAGCCCCACGGAGCAAAACAGCAACTCCAACAACACAAGCAGCGAGACACGTTCTCCTCCTGCAGACAAACAGGATGAGCCAGAGGAACCATCTTCGCCCCATCACGAGGACATGGAGTGTGCCAACTCCGAGTATCCCACCCTGCCCGTAGCAGACACCTCCTCCTGCACAACGCTGTCAGGCATTGCCAGGAAGTCACGGAGGGTCAGTCCACCGTGGCACTGCTCCACTCTGGTGGAGGGGAACGGCTCAGACAGCGGGGATTCCTACCACGGGAACAACAGCATGAAGCTACGTAGCAGCTGTGTCGGCCCCCGAGCGAGGATGCTCCCTAAATCAGACATTAAGAGGCCGAGCAGGTCCCAGAGCCCGGACTCTGCAGGGGAGCTGAGCTCTGTGTCTCGACACAGCCGTGAGAGTAACAGTCCCACGGCTTCTTCTCCAAACCGCCGAGTGTCAGCGGCGAGCAGTGCCAGCAGCAGACGAGCTCCAACTGATCTGCAGATATAAAACAATGAGTGTCTGCTCACCAACATGGCAACAGATACTCTAAATAAGCCATGTTTGGGTGAAGGTTGTGGGAACACTATATTACTGCACTTTTCACACATTTGATGTTCTTTAAAAGACATTGAAACAAGCACAAACAAGCCTTTGTTACCCCGTGCTATGAAGATTATGCTTCGACACCCAAGAGAAGCCTTCTTTTCCAATCATATTTAACAAGAACTTAAGAAGCATAATGACATTCTGCTCTTCACACTTTGACCGCAGCGGATTCTGTCGTTTCCTCACATTTCCAGATCTGCCACAGAGATTCAGATGGACATTTTATGATTTGTTTGTATGCAGCAGCTCTGTCTGAATGATTAGAGGGGCAATGGAAAAAATGGAAAACAAATCTATAACGTTGTTTTAGGTCGCCTAGTGGTGTTATGCAACCGGTGTGATTCAATCCAACGTGTCTGAGAGTCCTTCAGCAGGAACAGCAAACATAAAAATAAACCCCAGTTCTGCAAAATGAGTGCTGAATATCTTGGTGACATGAATAAAAATGTATTTAATGTGTTGTCATCTATCAGACTTTATTTTCCCATCAGGTAAACAAGCAGCAATCTCTGAATTATTGTTTGGTTTTGTATGAAAATGTATTTTTTACTAGATACTCATTCATGCAGTTGATATCAATTAAAGACCATTCTAAAAAATAATGTAGTAATTATTATTTTAATGCATTTATTTCAGAAACAGGAACCAGTTTAGGAAATGAAGAGAATGACAGCTGCCAAATGCTGAAAAAAAACACATTTTTATTTATAACAAAGCAAAATGTTAACAAAAAATAACAGATTCTGTGATCGCCGTACATCCGCTAATAAACATTTACATATTCTTCAAAAAAGCGCTATTGTTTAATGTTTTTATTTTGTTTTTTTACCCCAGAAAGCAACAACACAACTTCACTCTGCTGCTCCATTATCGGGCGATTGTTCGTACTGCATCAGCTGGAAAATGATATTAGGACAGAGGTTAAAGGTCACAGTAGGAGCAACACACTCAAAACACTCAGACGTATTTTCACAAGCTTCTCACCCTGTTTCTCAGCTCTTTGTTCTCCTCCATGAGCAGGTTGCACTTCTGTTGTAGATCAGCCAGCTCCATGCGGAGAGTCTCCACGTCTGCCGGCTCTGGAGCAGCCGCACCGAGGTGAAGCTTTATGAAACTGTGCAGGCGGTTAAGGTCAACGTGTGCTCTCGATATTCAGTCTACACACATCTTTCATTGGAAGGAATCCACACGGGTCAAGCTACTATCCAACAGCAGTGACTTGTAGCTTTCTTGGGGCCTTTCGTGTAAAGAAAAAGTCATTTGGTTTGTTGCTTAAGGACCTTCCCGTGAGAAAACAACTCCTCTGGCTCAACATAAAGCTCCGTATGTTCAGAATGACAGCAACACACTAAACTACAATAAACTAAAGCCTAGTTTGCTGGATTCAATTATCTATCAGGGGGGTTTTTCATCATTCACACTTTGAAATCAATGTTCAATCTCGTTTCCACACGACACATTTGTTCCTAATAGATGATGACACCACAAATGTCGGCCCAGTTACGGATTTTAAAACCAGCTGGATGGTTGACATACACAAACACGCCAAAAATGCTTTAAAAGGGGGAAATACTGAGCTTCATATTAACTGATATCCCCTCCAGAGCAATGTGCAATCGTATCTCCAGTGAGTCTAACACCAGACACAGCACTGCCTCTTTGGCTACTCGATAAATCTGCAACAACATCGCTTTCTTCCAAGAATTATCCTCCTTTTGTTAAACCAGAGCAACGGAGAACAAGCTGCTAAACTCAACAACTCACCACTCAGAGGGAAAGAGTGCTGCACTGGGAGAAAATCAATAAGCAGAAGCAGCAGAGGACACGCAATACAAAATAAAGAGAGAGACACAGTAGAACATGTAAGAAAGGACATAAAGGAGTGTGAAGGCTGTGAAGGGGAAATCTGACAGTCCTGGACACTGTAAGAGTCCAAGGATGCAAGCTGCCGCTAAAACCTCAAAGAAGGAGAGCGGTGGAGAATTTTTAAAGCTTTTTGAGGTTAAAGGACGAGTTTTCTGTAGCCAGGTAAGCTCAAGTCCAACAGGGAGCACAATCCTCAGGCACACTGTCAACTCAAGCATGAAAAAGCTTCATTTTATTTTGTCAATGTATGTTATCAGATGTACCCAAACACAAAAGCTACGTTTTATTGTAACCTCGCGTTGTAAATGACAATAAAACAACTGAATCCTTTAATTTCTTTTAAATAAATACACAGAATGCATCCAGTGTTGTTTTGTCCTCTCTCCTCGTTTAAGGCAAACCAACACCTGTTTATTATTATTACCACTTACAGTTGTATAAAGCTGCAAACACATGAAAAGGATACTCCAGTGCATTGTTGGGCTTGTCGGTCTCTTCATAAAGTGCCACTAGAACTGCAGGAGAGACGGAAAGTAAGTGAAAAGATGGGTTAAACACTGTGCATTGGATTATAATACACATGCTGCATAATGTCTTTAATAGTTTGTACACCTACCGCTGGTTATCGTGTCAAGGACCCCGGATTTTTCAAGATATCTTCTAAATTGTTCTCGCTTCGACTCTGAGGCCTGAAACACAAGACAAATGTGTTGACTTCTGACAGATAACTGTGTTAGTTTTGTTTATTTCCTTCTGCAAATAAACAAAACTAACACGACAAAGAGGAACATTAATAATAAGCCCGAGGTGCGTTCAATGCCTCCGCTGCTATGGCGATAGCTCGTCGGTTAGCTTCACAACGTTAAAACTGTTTAAAAAATAAATTAAAAAAATAACGAACAGCTACAGAAAGTATGCGCCACAGTACTTACTCTGTAATGGGCCATGAGTGCGACGACGGCTGTGTACTTAAAGTGTGTAAAAAATAACCAGCTAACGTGAAGTTTGAACTGTTGGTTGTGATGTTTGCGTCAGCCTAACAACAAACAGCAGGTTCACGCGTTGCCACGACAACGCGTTAAAACCGGAAGTGGTTTTTATTTTTTTCCCGATTAAATTTAAGCGGTTAAAGAGTTAAAGAGGAATAACAGCAGTGGAAATAATTTATTATTTTTTTTTATATTATTATTATTAT